CTGGACCCCGGCCCGGCACCGCGCGCCCGGCCCCGCAACCCCGGCCCAGCCCTCCCTCCCGATTTTCCCGGACATGCCCGGCTTTTGGGGATTTCCCCCCGGACGGGGATTTGAGCCCCCAAAAGCCGGACATGTCCGGGAAAATCCGGACGTATGGTAACCCTACACTATGGTGATTCTGGCCTCTCGTGGCAGACACTAGGTACAGGCCTCTACCCCTGAGTAACCTCAGTGCTGCTGTAGACTCACAGCACAGCTGCCTGCAAAGAAATGGGAGCCCCTCCCTCCTGTTGCCAGGACAACACACCCCCTCTGCCCCAGTTCCCCTTCCCTCCCACCAGTGAGCACCTCCAGAAAAAGAGTATTACTCACGATGCTTCCAGGTGACCCAGGAGGCCCAGGCTTCCCCTGCGGAGACACAACACCCCCCATCCCCCAAAAAGGCGAGTGGTGAAAGTCAGCATGTCAGACCCCGAGCTGGACTCTCTCTCATGCAAGGTTAAAAAGGAGAACGTGCAAACCTACAGCTTCACCCTTGTCTCCCTTCTCTCCGGCGACTCCCTGGGAGGAGAGAGAGGCAAGGTGAGAACCGGCCCTCGGTGGGACAGAGTCAAAGCAACTCCCCACCGTCTCAGGCCCGCTCAACGCACGCTGAGGCTCAGCATCGAACAGGCTGGAAATGCAAGTGACTCTTCCTCCGAGGTGGGCAGAGGAGATTTCGCACACTTGCGTGGTGTGCACACCAGGGGTGCCCATGGCAGCATCCTGCCTTATGTCTTGGGCTTCCGCCCAATCAGACGTTATTCAAACTGGTTCCACCCCTTCCTGCTGGGGAGCAGACCTTCCACGCCGGACCTGCCAGACTACATCACACGGAGGGAGGGAGCTTGCAGCCTTTAAAACAGCAGAGTTACGGGCCTCTCTTTTGCCAGCTATAATATTGTCTCCCAAGCTCCCCTTCCTTCCATCACGCCGTCGATGATTGACTTACATCCTTTCCCGGTTCTCCCATCTCGCCTTTGATCCCCTGTTCTCCATGACGTCCCGGAAGCCCGAAAGGTCCCTGCAAAATGATTCGAAGACACGATCATGAGTGAAACAAGCGATTGATCTTCGCACATACAGCCCAATGGGCGTTCCAGACCCTGTCCAGCAGCACAGGAAGTGCAGAAGACTTCACCCTAGGCACCCGCCTGAACTCTCTGTGGTTTTCATTTAGGAGGTGACTCTTTGTGCATGTGAATTCCAAGGCTGCTGACCGGTGCTGGATTGAAAGCCCTAGGAGAAAGCCCTGGGCTGAGAACCACCAAACTCATTGCACAGATCTCTTTTTCCCCTCACTAATTCCCTTCTATAACTACTCGGACATGGAAACACAGTGCCTGAAGGATGCCACTGAAGCACCGAAAGATCTCATTCTGCACCCTGGAATGAATCATTACCTGGATTCCTCTCTCTCCTGGCTCCCCTGGGGCACCTGCTTCTCCCTAAAGGAAAGGAGGACAATTTTTTTTACAGCCTTATTAGCAGCCTCAGGTAAATGGGTGTGTCAGGCTTCCCCAGCACTTGGGACATTAATTATGCAGCACTTCTTATGCCTGCAAAAGCCAATTCAAATGGAGAGCAAGTCAAGCCCACTTGTCTGGCCAGTGGCTTTGAATGAGGCCAGTCTCTTTCCCCAGCACCCACCAGAGGGGGCGGAGGAGCAGGCAATGATAAAGATGAGGTAGGTCGTCAGAGGTGCAGTAAATGGGGGTGACATTTCAGAGGGTGCCCGGAGCTGGAGTAAATAGGGTCAGATGTTGCAGGGAGATGTCAGAGTTGCAATCATGCTAGTAGAGATGGGGGGAGGTTGACAATTCTCCACCAGAGAATTCACTACGAAAGCTTATGCTCCAATACATCTGTTAGTCTTAAAGGTGCCACAGGACTCTCTGTTGCTTTTTACAGATCCAGACTAACACGGCTACCCCTCTGATACAATTCTCCACCAGTCACCAATGGGATTTTGGGAAAGTCTCCTGCTTTCCACCTCCTCAGCCTTAACAAGCAGGTGACCGCCCCCATAGCTAGTCCCACCCCCCAGAACTTGAAGAACTGTCCCAGAAGAAAAAAGATTCTGAAGTCCCATTTGACAGGTTGGTTGCACTCTCTAACTTTGGCAGATGAAACCGAACCCAGAAGGAAAACCTAACCAGAGTTGGAGCCAGTTTGGGGGACATTTCAAGAACTTGGGTTGGTCGAGCCAGGCTGAACCAAATGCGAACCTGACCTCCATGCCTCTCATCTGAATCAAAGCCCCCAAAATGGGAAAACAAAAGGGTCCTTTCGGATGACTTGGGAGTCACATCGGAACAGCTTCACATTAATATTTATCAGGAGGTTCCGCATTCTACTACAGACTACAGCAGAGAGAGCTCAATCATCTCCATGGCTATGGGAAATCACAGAATTCCCATTATGTTACCTTGGTCCCCACGTTCCCTTTCTGCCCCGGTTGTCCCTAGAACATAACACAAAGTGTCAGGTTAAAGTTCAGTTCATGACCAGTTTTGTTATTCTGAATTTCCCAGTTGAATTAAAGCGCCTGGCTTGGTTCTGATCTTACTGTTGCCAGTGTAAACCGGGAGTTAGAGTCATAGAGTCATAGACTTTAAGGTCAGAAGGGACCATTATGATCGTCTAGTCTGACCTCCTGCACAACGCAGGCCACAGACTCTCACCCACCCACTCCTGTATCAAACCCCTAACCTATGTCTGAGCTGTTGAAATCGTGGTTTAAAGACTTCAAAGGGCAGAGAATCCTCCAGCAAGTGACCCATGCCCCACGCTGCAGAGGAAGGCGAAAAAAACCCAGGGCCTCTGCCAATCTGCCCTGGAGGAAAATTCCTTCCCAAGCCCAAATATGGCGATCAGCTAAACCCAGAGCATATGGGCAAGACTCACCAGCCAGACACCCAGGAAAGAATTCTCTGTAGTAACTCAGATCCCACCCCATCTAACATCCCATCACAGGCCATTGGGCATATTTACCGCTAATAGTCAAAGATCAATTAATTGCCAAAATTAGGCTATCCCATCATACCATCCCCTCCATAAACTTATCAAGCTGAGTCTTGAAGCCAGATATGTCTTTTGTCCCCACTGCTCCCCTTGGAAGGCTGTTCCAGAACTTCACTCCTCTGATGGTTAGAAACCTTCATCTAATTTCAAGTCTAAACTTCCTGGTGGCCAGTTTATATCCATTTGTTCTTGTGTCCACATTGGTACTGAGCTTAAATAATTCCTCTCCCTCTCTGGTATTTATCCCTCTGATATATTTATAGAGAGCAATCATATCTCCCCTCAGCCTTCTTTTGCTTAGGCTAAACAAGCCAAGCTCTGTGAGTCTCCTTTCATAAGACAGGTTTTCCGTTCCTCGTATCATCCTAGTAGCCCTTCTCTGTGCCTGTTCCAGTTTGAATTCATCCTTCTTAAACATGGGAGACCAGAACTGCACACAGTATTCCAGATGAGGTCTCACCAGTACCTTGTATAACGGTACTAACACCTCCTTATCTCTACTGGAAGTTACTCTAGTGTAACCTGAGATGAGGATCAGGGCTTTTCCCTTTAATCCTTTTCTTCATGGATCAGTACATACAAGGGACGCTTGGTCTCTATTATGCCACAGGACAATGTGATAGTAACTCCAATGATGGAAAGACTCTTGGATGTGCAAACTCCTTGAACTAAAGGAGAGTGGCCATTGGCTGTCATTAGTAAAGAGTCTTATCTGAGGCCTGTAATAAAGCTCTCTTGGGTGGCTGCCTGTGTTCCCTCTAAGCTACGAGGTTGGGCGGCCGCCCAGGAGAGATTCAAGTGCCGCACACTTGATTAGCAGAGCTGCGCACATCCGGCAGCATGTGTTCAGGTGCCCCTCCCCTCGCTGCTTTGCAGCTGCTCCCAGGACCCTCCTGCTGGCTGTGCAAAGCAGGGTGGCTGGGAAGGGGGTGCTGATGTCAGGGTGTCCCCTGTACCCCATCTCCACAGAGCAGGGGAGCAGGGCCACCCTGGCTCAGAACTCGAGAGCAGGAGAGAGCTGCTGCAGTCTGAGATCTGAACCAGCCTTCCGGGTGAGTGAGTGCCTTTCTTTCTTCTGCTGCTACTGATAGCTCATCTCAATTGATTGGCCTCTTACAATTGGTATGCGTACTTCCACCTTTTCATGTTCTCTGTTTGTATAAATATCTTCTGTCTGTGTGTTCCATTCTATGCATCCGAAGAAGTGAGCTGTAGCCCACGAAAGCTTATGTTGAAATAAATCTGTTAGTCTCTAAGGTGCCACAAGTACTCCTGTTCTTTTTGCGGATACAGACTAACACTGCTGCTACTTTGAAACCTTTCTTAAAGAGACAGCCATGGTCTCTGAGACTTCCCCAGCAGCCAGCTCACACAATCTCTGTCTCTGTCTGTCTATCTGTCTCTCTCACACATACACACACATTCTGTCTCTCCCGCTCCCCCCGCCCATGTACCCCATCTCCACAGAGCGGGGGAGGGGAGACAGGGCTCAGGAGAGCTTTCAGTGAGTGCCTTAATCAGACAGCACACAGCGTCTCTCAGAAACTTCCCCAGCTGCCAGCACACATGCTGTCTTGGTCACACACACCCACACACAGTCTCTGACACACACAAAGTCTCTATGTCACTCACACACACACACACAGTCTCTGTCTCTGTCTCTCTCTCACACACACACAGTCTGTCTCTCTCACACACAGTCTGTCTGTCTCTCTCTCTCTCTCTCTCTCTCTCTCTCTCTCTACACACACACACACACACACACACACACACACACACACACACACACACACAC